GGCCAGCACGGGCCGGGCGGGGCCAGGTCCTGACACCCCCAGGCGCTTCCTCATGGCGCTGACAAGCCAGGAAGGGACACGGGGGCGGGAGGGCGGGCTCACGACCCGCGAAGGCGGGGCCCCAGGGCTGCCCGGGCGCAGGGTGAGTCCCGGCCTGTGCAACCCGGCCAGGGAGTGACCACAGGTACGGCAGATGACTCCTGTCTCCACGCTGCCCTCTCAGCGGGCCTGCCTGTTCTGCTCCCCACTGTTTCTGGGGAGTCCGCTCACCCCTGCACCTCTGGCCCGCACCCCAGTTCTGGTACCATAAACAACAAATCCTTAGGTAAGTGAAGCGCCCCTAGGACAACCCAGAGCGTCCCCGCGGCAGGTCCAGGCTGAGCTGCCGCTGCGGTGGGCGCCCGGCCGGGGGGGGCGCCGTCCCCTGCCAGCTGTGCCAGCCCCGCCCCCGCGCAGCCCCGTACCGCTGAAGCCAGGGGTCAGCTCCGCCAGGCGCTGCGAGTAGAAGCTGCTGGCCCGCGTCAGCTTCAAGCCCTTCAGGTGCTGCTCGAAGATCTCCCGCCGCTCCTGCCAGGGACACGGGTGAGGCCGAGCGGCTCTCGGACAGCCCGCGGCAGCGTCTCGGGCAGGGAGGGCCCCGGCCCGCTGCTGGCCACGGGGCAGCAGCCGCAGCTGCCGGCCAGTGTCCAGACCCCCCGGCGCGGCCCCCACTCGCTGCAGCCCAGGAGCAGGGCCAGCAGCGCCCGGAGGCGAGATGGCTCCGGAGCTGGGCAATGTTTCTTTAAGGTTTACATTGTTTATTTATGCACACAAGAACTGGGGTACAGGCCAGAGGTCTAGGGGTGTGCAGACTCCCCAGAGACAGCGGGGAGCAGTCCGGGCGGTGCAGTGAAATCCACTGCAGCGTGGGCAGGAGGGGTCTGCTGTGCCCTGGGGTCACTCCCTGGCTGGGGATGGACTCGGGACACAGGGCTGGCAACGGCTGGACAGCGCTGAGACGACCCCTGGCCCCCAGGGAGGCCTGACCCTTGGGTTTAGATGTCAGGGAACTTGCTACGGAGCTCAGCCAGACCTGCCTCTCCAGCCACACTCGGTCCGGGACAAAGAGGAAAACAACGGAGGCAGGAACAAGGCGAGCGCTGGGCGAGCCCCGGGCTGGGGGCTGCGGGGCCAGGCCCAGGGCAGCGCCCAGCCCGCCATCGCCGGCCACACTGACCTGCAGCGTCGGGAGATCGATGAAGACATGGCGGTCCAGCCGGCCGGGCCGCAGCAGCGCGTTGTCCAAAATGTCTGCGCGGTTGGTGGACGCCAGGACAATGACGTGGTCCGTGGTGCCCATCCCTGCAGAACAGTGGGGTCAGGGGGTGCAGCTGGCTTCCCTGCAGGGGGCGGGGCGGGCGCTCAGCCGCCCGCCGCACCCCTGGGAAGGGACAGGCCGCCCTCCCTAAGCACAGGCCAGGACTGCCTGACCCAAGGGCGGCCCCAGCCCCCAGGGACAGCACGGCTCAGCTGACTGACCTCCTGGCCCAACGGCTGAGCCACAGAGCAGATGCCACCGACATGCCAGACGACCCCAGCCCCCGGGAAGCGGCGCCAGACGAGGCGCCGGCCTGTGCCCTGTGCTTGGCAAGGGGCCGCGGGCAGGACCCGCTGGAGCCGCAGGCTTGGAGCCAGAGGGTGTGAGACAGGGTCTCGGCGCAGCCTGGGCCCTGGCACCCGGAGGGAGGCGGCCGCGGGCCCACTCGCGCGGAATCCGGGCC